ATATATATCTGCACAGGTTGATTGGTGGTCCTGTCTAGCCTCGTCACTTCGTTCGCCGGGGTTAGGCCAGGCACTTACCAGCACATGGGGTCGGTTGTGCTGATGCTACACTTCTGTGCTCTTTTGCACAGATCACGGTACCGGAGCAGCTTTTGGACCACATCAGTAGTTGATTGGGAGCTGGCATCAGTCCAGGGACTTTCGAGGTAGCCTAGCTGGCGTTCGCAGGCCGGGGTCCCTTTCCATGTTTTTAGTTTGTTTTCCTTGTACCGAGACAAACATTGGTGTATTTCTATTCTGACTTGTTTTTAGCATTCTTTAGTAGTTCGTGAGTTAGCGACACCAGTCTTGGGTAGAGAAATGTTAACTTCCGCAAATTTTTGGGTTTTCAGTTATTTAAGTTCTAAAGACTTCCGCTTTTATATTAACTGTCTCGTTGATCTTTATATTTGTTGATGATGTTAAGAGTAATATTAAATCAATTGGCTTGCCTAGCTCCTATTAGTAGGCGCCATCACGACTCCCGATGGTGGGAAATTCGGGTCGTGACAAATCATGAAATGTTAAAATAGTTGATTATTATTATAAAATATTGCATATATTGTCTTAAAATTATCAAGTAGTTTATTTTTCGACACCATACTTGGCTTAACCTCAATGCAAACTACTCAAATTGCATTCCAATTCAAATTCGAATATCATATCAGTTTGTTAGTAATAGTGATTTTTTAAAAACGACACATAATGTAAATTAAAAAAAATATTCTAAGATATCCTTATCTCATAATCTATGTATTTTAAAAAAATATATTTGAAATTGATGCGATTAACTTTCAAATTTTTTATCCTCAACAAAGATGAAACATAAAAAGAAATTTGTTGTCATCTTTTATTTCTCGTTTTAGATCTTTCTAACATTTTTTTCAATGTTTATTTTCTTTTATCTTATTTTTTATGTCATTATTTCTTTTGTTACAAAAAATTAATTTATTTCACTATAAAAGGATGAGTTTTAATAAAAATTTTCTACATATGAACTTTAATTATATTTTTAGTCTTTGGTTGTAATTATTTCATATTTTTCTTTTGGCTTTATCTAATCAGCCTAAATAGGTGCTCACCCGACCACTTAAATTAAAAAATTGAATGATGTGTAATTTATATATAATCCATATATCGTGTGTTGTCGGTATATCATCTATTTATATTAGCTATAAAAAGTAAACAATAAATATGACCGGATATTATGTAAATATTCCATAAGATTTCGGTTTTTTGAGTTTATCCATGATATAACTTCTATTATAATAATTTTAAAACTCTCTACTAATGTTCAAAAATATCTTATCTTTTTATTATCTTTGAATTAAAAAAAGTAAAGAGTTTTTTCGAATAATTTTTTTTTCATTTTTTACAAAAGTAGTTCACGTCATACCAATTTTTTTTATATATACTCTTTGTTACACTTAAAAGTTGCTATAGAAACTATCAATTAGAAACCAATTTATCTCTTGTTGAGTTTGAAAAAAAAACCTTTCACATAATCTAATGATTCAAAACTAATATTTTTCAACGAAAAAAATATTATACCCTTCCAATATTGGCTTGACTACAGCTAAATGAAGGGGTTTCAACTTATATCCTTCAATTCCTTGAATGTGCTAAATTGAAATTAATGATAGCAATTGTATAGTCAAAGTTATGTTATTTGTTTGATGTCCATTTATGCAAATTGACTCTTCAAACCAATATTTTTCAAGAAGAAAAAAGAAATAACTTTTTTTTTTTTTTAATATTGACTGATTTTGTGATGTTTCTTTCTCCAGCATGTATGTTTACTTTATTATATATGTAAGTAAACTTTTATTTGGTTTTGTAAACTCTTTTTTGTTATTTAGATAAACATAGACGTGTAACCTATATATTACATTTATTTTAAAAGAATTTCGTTATATTCAAATCTAGCTACAGTATTTCAAAGAACTATACTTATAAGATTTTAAATGTGAAAGAGTTTTATAGTTATATGGAGTAGTTTTTTTTTCTAGAGGCGAAGTAGTATTTAAATAATTATATAAAATAACAAAAGTTCCTAACATGATTTCATATCATCATTAACCGAATTAAGTAAGATAACATGATAAAAAAAAGATAAATTTTATTTTTAAATTAAATTCGAATTTTAGAACTTTATCTATAATTTTAAAATTATCTTTTAATTCAAATTCCGTGAATATATATATATATATATATATATATAATATATTATATTATATTATATTATATTATATTTAACTAAAATAGTCAAATATAGAATAAAGTTACCATATACTATTGACATTATTAGCTTGCCACTTGGCTTAACTATAATGTCAATTTTTTTTTTTTTGTTAATTAAAAACTTCATTTACCAAGTAATATTTACACATCATTTCTCAGCCGAGCAGACCATAATGTCAATTATATAAAGAATTGGACTTCTTGAACCATAATGTCAGTTATATATAGTAACTTTCTTGCTTTATTATATATACTAGTATTAGTATCCGCGCGGTGCGCGAATAAT